ATATTCTCTGCAGCCAAAGATGGAGAAACTCTATACAGTCAGCAAAAACAAGACCTGGAGCTGATTGTGGCTCTGATCATCAGCTTCTCATAGCAAAATTCAAGCTTAAACTGAAGAAAGTAGGAAAAGCCACTGGGCTAGTCAGTTATAATCTAAACCAAATCCCTTATGAATACACAGTGGAAGTGAAGAACAGATTTAAGGACCTCGATTTGGTGGACAGAGTGCCCGAATAACTATGGATGGAGGCTCGTAACATTGTACAGGAGGCAACAACAAAAATCATCCCAAAGAAAAGGAAATGAAAGAAAGCAAAGTGGCTATCCAGTGAGGCCTTACAAATAGCAGAGAAGAGAAGGGAAACAAAATGAAAGGGAGATAGGAAAAGTTACAGAAAACTGAATGCAGACTTCCAAAGAATAGTAAGGAGAGACAAGAGGGCCTTCTTAAATGAACAATGCAAAGAAATAGAGGAAAATAATAGAAAAGGAAAAACCAGAGATCTGTTCAGGAAAATTGGAGATATTAGAGGAACATTTTGTGCAAAGATGGACATGAGAAAGGACAAAAATGGAATGGGCCTAACAGAAGCAGAAGACATCAAGAAGAGGTGGCAAGAATACACAGAGGAATTATACGAGAAAGATTTGGATACCCCCGGATAACCCAGATAACGTGGTTGCTGACCTTGAGCCAGACATCCTGGAGAGTGAAGTGAAGTGGGCCTTAGAAAGCTTGGCTAACAACAAGCGCTACCACGTCTTCAGTTTACTGAAAATGTTTATGTGTGATTGTATACAGAAGAAAAATGAACACTGCAGTTTTGTTGAAATACCTAGCTAGGCAACTATCTATTTTGGAGGAATCGTCTGAATGTCCATTTCTGAGACTGACTTCCCATCGGAAGTTTATACAGTATTGGCATGCAACACCATATACTACCCGCTATTCATAAGTAGTTATATCAGTGTGTGTGTGATCTGAGCTTTTTTATTACAAAATAACTCCCTGCAGTAGAACTACTCATTTAAAAAATGAGAGAGGAGCAATTAGAAGCTCAACAAAAAGGCAGAGAGTCCTTCAAATGGATGACCATCCTCCTCCCGGAGAGCGGACATACAGCCAGCCACCTTAACTACACATGGGATTTTAAAAAATAGTTCTGAATTAAAAAAATATCCACTCCTACACCCTTGAGTAGCATACAAAAAAAAAAAAACCCTTCAAAGACACTTCAAATGCCATGGGACCTATGCAGCCATAATATATAATGCACCAACCAATGCACGCCTTGCTTCAAAAGAACTCTCCCTCTCTTTTTCTAAAGGAGTTGAAAGATGGAGCCCGGCAGCAGGAGATAGTTTTCCAGAATACAAAAAGAATGGGATATAACTCATCACCTGGACTCACACACTCTTTACATACACGTGACACAAGACTGCAGGGGTACAAACAGAGCAGGTTTGGGTTGGCGGAATGCCTTGAACCACTCCGGCTACAGGCAGAACTCGGTAAGTCTGCAGGCTTCAGAGGTGGAAACACTGCAAGCAGAAAGCAAGCCCCTCAAGGCTAATCTACTTAAGGAGGCGGAGAGGAGAGCTACCATCACCTTGTCAACAAAAGTCCGCATAGTCCAAGGTATGGTTTTTCGAGTAGCAATGTATGGAAATGAGAGCTGGACCACAAAGAAAGCTGACCGCCAAAGAATTGATGCTTTTGAACTGTGGTGCTGGAGGAGGCTCTTGAGAGTCCCCTGGACTGCAAGGAGAACAAACCTATCAATTCTAAAGGAAATCAACCCTGAGTGCTCACTGGAAGGACAGATCCTGAAGCTGAGGCTCCAGTACTTTGGCTATCTCATGAGAAGAGAAGACTCCTTGGAAAAGACCTTGATGTTAGGAAAGTGTGAAGGCAAGAGGAGAAGGGGATGACAGAGGATGAGATGGTTGGACAGTGTCATTGAAACAACCAATATGAATTCACACAATTCCGGGGGGCAGTGGAAGATAGGAGGTCCTGGCGTGCTCTGGTCCATGAGGTCACGAAGAGTCGGACACGACTGAACGACTAAACGATTCATTGCTGACATACTGTACAAAAGCACTGGGTGGCAAGCAGGGGAGATACAGTTACAGACAAAGAAGACCAAGAATGTACAGTTGCCGATATCTGCCATGAAGAAAGACCGAGATCAATATGGACTGTGTCTGGACATTTTGTGGCAACTAAGTGGTGATATATACATATCCACACATGAGTGTAATCAAGTCTTTTTATCACTTATACAACACTTGTAGTGTGGAATGTGCTTTCAAATACTCACTTTGGTTCTTCGGAAAGCAACTCTACCAAAAAATACAGCATTTGCACACATCAAACCCCTTTTCGTGCTGCTGCATAAGACTGGAATGGAAATGCTGACTACCTTCAAATAAATACTGTATTCATACTAGGCTTTGGGACATCTTTTTAAACATGACAGTTGAAATGAATTTTGCCATTCCTATGTGAGAAATTCAAATGTTAACTAGAGTAGCCGCTGCTCCATCATCAAAAAGAGAGACATCACAAAGAAGATAACGGAGGACACCAAAAGACAACAGCATTATTTACAAAAAAGAGGACAGTTTTGCATTCAATTTGCACATATAATCTAATATACACAAATATAATCATCATATTACTATAATCTAAACTGAAATATAGTACTAGTAAGAGCATGCACAAGACTGTGATAAGGTAAAAACACAAAAGCACAGCACTGAAATAAGAGTAGATATAAATCAAATACATAAATAAAGCACAACATGTATTAACTCTCTGAAATGCCCCGCTGTCTTGTATTTTCTTCAGTTTAAAAAGGTAAAGGTAAAGGTTCCCCTTGACAATTTTTGTCCAGTCGTGTTCGACTCTAGGGGGCGGTGCTCATCCCCGTTTCCAAGCCATAGAGCCAGCGTTTTGTCCGAAGACAATCTTCCGTGGTCACATGGCCAGTGCGACTTAGACACAAAACGCTGTTACCTTCCCACCAAGCTGGTCCCTATTGATCTACTTGCATTTGCATGCTTTCAAACCGCTAGGTTGGCGGGAGCTGGGACAAGCGACGGGAGCTCACTCCATCACGTGGATTCGATCTTACGACTGCTGGTCTTCTGACCCTGCAGCACAGGCTTCTGTGGTTTAGCCCACAGCGCCACCATGTCTTCAGTTTACTGAAAATGTATATGTGTGATTGTGTACAGAAGAAAAATGAACACTGCAGTTTTGTTGAAATACCTAGCTAGGCAACTATCTATTTTGGAGGAATCGTCTGAATGTCCATTTCTGAGACTGACTTCCCATCGGAAGTTTATACAGTATTGGCATGCAACACCATATACTACCCGCTATTCATAAGTAGTTATATCAGTGTGTGTGTGATCTGAGCTTTTTTATTACAAAATAACTCCCTGCAGTAGAACTACTCATTTAAAAAATGAGAGAGGAGCAATTAGAAGCTCAACAAAAAGGCAGAGAGTCCTTCAAATGGATGACCATCCTCCTCCCGGAGAGCGGACATACAGCCAGCCACCTTAACTACACATGGGATTTTAAAAAATAGTTCTGAATTAAAAAAATATCCCCTCCTACCCCCTTGAGTAGCATACAAAAAAAAAAAAACCCTTCAAAGACACTTCAAATGCCATGGGACCTATGCAGCCATAATATATAATGCACCAACCAATGCACACCTTGCTTCAAAAGAACTCTCCCTCTCTTTTTCTAAAGGAGTTGAAAGATGGAGCCCGGCAGCAGGAGATAGTTTTCCAGAATACAAAAAGAATGGGATATAACTCATCACCTGGACTCACACACTCTTTACATACACGTGACACAAGACTGCAGGGGTACAAACAGAGCAGGTTTGGGTTGGCGGAATGCCTTGAACCACTCCGGCTACAGGCAGAACTCGGTAAGTCTGCAGGCTTCAGAGGTGGAAACACTGCAAGCAGAAAGCAAGCCCCTCAAGGCTAATCTACTTAAGGAGGCGGAGAGGAGAGCTACCAAGGGAAGCACAGGGAAAGGTCATTTCTCACTCCCCCCCCCGCCTTCATCATTAGTACAGTCCACACCATCCCTTGCAACGGGAAGTGGTACAGTCCACCCTGCTCCTCTCAGCCTTCCCCTGGGGGTGCGCAGGTGTGTCTGTCTGTCCAGCCAACGAGCCCGAGTGGGTCGGAGCGACAGTCGTGGAGGGGGGGTCCTTTGGGGGAGGAGAGAAAGAAGGAGAAAACAGGGCTTCTTAATAAAATAACTGGGGGAGGGAGCGGACGGAGGGACCCTCATTACCTGAGAGACGACCATGATGCTGGAGTCAATCAAGAAGCTCATGGTGGTTAAAACTCTCCGGGAGGGGAAATGGGCGCCCTTGCCTTCCTCTCCCCCCTCCCCCGCCTCTTGCCTCGGCTCCCCTCTTAGTCAACCAGCCTCACGGCTGTCACTCAAACTGCGCGGCCGCGGGCACGACAGGGGCGGGGTCAGTGGGCTCGAGAGACGTCTTAGAGATACGAAATAGAGGGAGCGGCTGGCCTCATGATCTTGGAATAGAACTTCCTGGTTCCTTTCTCTGTTTTCTCGCTCCCTCTGTCTCGGGTAGACTTCCGAGCTCCCTATGGAAGGAGCGGGATAAAACCACACCAAGAATTTTAGTTCAGCTGCCCTGTTCAAGGCAAATACCATCCATTATGCCCCGGGGCGGGGGGCGGGCGGGTGAGGGAGATGGAGGTGAGGGTGTCTTACAAATGGTACCTACCCCATGGCATGCAATATCAACCCAAAAGAGCTGCACACCAACCTGGGGCTGACTGAGGCTTGCTTGGCGTACCAGCTGAAAAAAAAATCATACCATGCGAAGGTTCAGACTGTCTGGTGTGGCCCCCTTACCAGGCGGAATTTAGCGCTCACTTCCTCGCAGAAGGGAAGCCTCGTGCCTTATTGACGTGCATACAGGTGTTTTAAAACATTTTTACACGAAGAACGGTGCAAGACAGAAAGACAATGAACTGTCTTTCCTGCTGTCTTTTGCCTGGTACACTGCTGCTGCATCACACGCGCTGCAAGGGTGCAGTACTGTGCAGGGTTGGATTAAGGCTGCACGAGACACGATTATACTTTCAGAGTAAATTTGCATGCGATTTCAGCACATGAAAAGAGGGTTGTTGTTTTTTACCTGCCATCAAGGCGCTTGTAGCTTATGAAGAATATAGAAATGTATTCATTTATGGGAAATATAGACATAATCTCCATACAGAAGGTGCGAGAGGAAAAAATGAGCACCTAAACTTTAGGGACTAAAAGGAACCTAGAAGCTGAGGATTCTGTGTTCGTCTAATTTAGAAGTCTATACGTGAAAGCGTCAAGAAAGAACTACTGTAGACGCATATAAAACAGCCGCCGAACTTGCTGTGCACCCATGAACTTCCGGTACTACATCGAAAGACACTGTTGCCTCTTTTGGAATAAGGTAGGCCAGAGTTGTGGAACTCGTGGGCAGGGAAATATAATTGACGGAAGGCTGGCGGTGGAGAAACCGGAAGCGAGTGAATTGCTGCTTTGCCATTGGGTAAAGCTAGGAAACGGGTGGGGGAAGGGGGGCTGGTAAAACAGACGTTTGCTCATTCTGATTGGATGCCTTCAGCAGCTGCCAGGTTGCAGCTGCTGCTCAAGGGATCGCTTTTTGCAAGGAATATCAGGCTAAAGTGAGAAGAAAAGACTCCCTGGAAAAGACCCTGATGCTAGGAAAGTGTGAGGGCAAGAGGAGAAGGGGACGACAGAGGATGAGATGGATGAACAGTGTGAAGCAACCAACATGAATTTGACACAACTCCGGGAGGCAGTGGAAGACAGGAGGGTCTGGCGTGCTCTGGTCCATGGGGTCACGAAGAGTCAGACAAAACTTAAGGACTAAACAACAACAAAATCAGGCTAAAGAGGGTTCCCTGTGTGGTTTAATAGTAGATAACGTGACAGGCTCTGAAGAACAGTATTGGAATCCATGGAAACGCACTAGGGGAGTGGAGCTTGTAAAACCACTCCTTAAATATGTATCTCATTTACCTTGAAAGCCCTGTTGGGATCTCTACTGTATGAGTAATCTGACTTGACAGCACAGAATGCACACACAAACCTAAGCTTGTGGTCCTGTTGAAATCTCTACTGGAGGTTTGGAAAAGTTACTTTTTTGGGCAACAAGTCTCGGAATCAAATTCTGGGAATTGTAATCCAGAAAAGTAGCTTTTCCAAACTGATCTCTCACTACTTTGCCAATAGAGGTGAGCAGTAATTGCATCTGATGAAGTAGACTTGTTCACAAAAGCTCATTAAACCACAAAAAAGTCTTTAAAGTGCCGCCATGGTTTCTTTCACTTTTTGTTTTCATCTATAATGCTTGCACAGACTAATGCTACCCTTTCTACAACTGCATCTTGAAATAAAATCACATTGTAATCTTGTGATTTAAGACTTGGGCAATTGGAAATCTTTGCAGTCAAGACTGCTTCTGATGGTTGTTAAGCAAACATGTTGGTTGCCATCATGTAGAAACTACTCCCCTGGACACAAAGTGGAGACCATAAGGAAGACATCTAGTTACATTTCAGTGCACTTAATGCATGTGCTGGTCGGCCCATGTGCTTTTTACCTTTTGCATACCAATGACACATGATTTAGGTGAATTGCTCTCCAGCTTATTATGACCCTGTGAATGAATGCTCTGTCCTCAACAGCCCTGCTCAGCTCTTGCCTTCTCATGATGTGCCTCAGTTTGAACATTTTTGTCTCCAGAGATAGTTCAGGCTTGATTTGACCTAGGGCCCACTTGTTTACCTCTCTGGCAGTCCAGGGTATCTGCAAAGCTCTCCCTCAGCACCATATTTCAAACAAATAATTTTTTTTCCTGTCACTGCTCTTTACCATCCAGCTTTCACACCCATACATAGTGATCAAGAATACAAGAGTGTGGATTATTCTGCTCTTGGTCTCCAGTGACACCTCCTTAACCTTGATGATCTTTTTAAATTCCTTCATTGCTGTCCTCCCAAGTCCCAGTCTCCTTCTGATTTCTTGGCTGTAGTCACCATTTGGATTGATGATTGAATCAAGCAAAATCTTCTACTATATCAATTGCTTTATTGTCAACATTAAAGTGTTGTAGTTCTTTTGTTGTCATAATTTTTGTCTTCTTAATGTTCAGCTACAGATCCTGAAGCTGAGGCTCCAGTACTTTGGCCATCTCATGAGAAGAGAAGACTCCCTGGAAAAGACCCTGATGTTGGGAAAGTGTGAAGGCAAGAGGAGAAGGGGATGACAGAGGGCGAGATGGCTGGACAGTGTCATCGAAGCAACCAACATGAATTTGAGTCAACTCTGGGAGGCAGTGGAAGACAGGAGGGCCTGGCATGCTCTGGTCCATGGGGTCATGAAGAGTCAAATATGACTTAACGACTAAACAACAACAACGTTGTGGCGTTTGCCCCTAGTTATCCCTGGTTATCTTCCTACCACAGAGCACCTGAAGGCAAACCAAACTCCTCTTCACATGCTGCCACCAGTTGATCACTAAATCAACATACTTTTCTAAAGAAAGATGAAGATCCATTCACCAGTTATAAATAAAACAGGTTAATTGATTACAGATGTTTTGGTAATAATTCATACGTATCTTCTTCAGGTTTCTACATCATCAATAACAACCTTCTATTTGATCTTACAGTTACTATACACTCTTCTGATTAGTCACACCTGTGTGTCAGTCAGTACCAACCTGATAGGTTCAGGTGTCTGTATGGTTAGCCAGAACTGATAGGTTCAGGGTCTGTGCTTCAAGTTAAGTGTTCTGTGTGAACCAAACTGTGTGTATGTATGATTGAGACTAAGCCACGTTACTGTATCTTATTCACCTGATCATTTTATTTTCCCTGTGTGTTATGTAAATAAACCTTGTTCTTTTATTTGTTTAAAAATCCATCCCTGGTCTGTGTGACTTCTTATAGGGAATGGTTGGTGGCAGCTTAGTGAAACTGTGGTATATCCCAGTAGGTCTGGGTTTGTCACAGACACAACCATCATTCTAAAAATAAAATTAATACACACTCTCGGACCCTCTTATTAGTTGCCTTCCTCAGTCTCCATTGCTTTATTTGTTTAGTTGGTTTGTTAGAAAGGCAATGAAGGGATTTCTTTAGGGGCAATCCAAGGGGAAGAAAGCTGTGAAGCTACACAGGCTAAGTAGTAGCACCGTCATCATGACCACCACATGCACAACCACGTCTATGATAACAAGTGCCACTGTCCCTCCTCCGGTGGCCTTGCAGGGACGCACGGAACCAAAGTTTCCAGTGATGCCAAAAGAACTGCTGCTCCTCTTCCTAGAGGAATCTGAGGAGTTACTGGTTTCTGAAGATCCACAGTCCGATTTGGAACCAGTAATGGCAGGGCAGACTTCACAGCCCCCACCCCACCCCTGCCCCCAGAGTCATCTGTTCCCTCCTCCCAGACCAGCAGTCAGTAGGTCTTCATTAGGGCAAACATGACAGAGGGGCCATGTGGGATCATTTCATGGCACTCAGCGATGACCCACGGCTGGCATGCTGCAATACTTGCCTTGGGGTGGTCCGGAGGGGGTCAGACCCCAGGCATCTGTCCTCCACTGCCCTCTGCCAACATCTGGAGAGGCACCACCCAAGGCTCCTGTCCAGGGAAGGCACTTCGTCCTTGCTGTCTGGTAGAGGGAAAACAGCAGCTCCAGGGGAGGCAGGAGGAGGCACCTCCTTTCAAAAGGGCAGCCCCAGGGGTTTCTGGGGCTGGGAGCACGAGGCAGGCCACGCTCCATGAAGTGGCATCTATTGTATCTGCCATGACCCTTAGCCGGGGGTTGAAGGGCAAGGCCCAGCAGGTGGCCACTTGTCTTGTTGCCGAGATGATCGCCCTTCTCAGACTTCCACTGTGCATTGTGGAATCCCAAGCCTTCCACCGGTTGCTGCTTTATTTTGCCCCCTGGTATGACCTCCCCTCATGGAGAACTCTGAGTTCTAGAGTGCTGCCCTTGCTCTATGACTCTGTGAGGGAGGTGGTCCATGACCATTTTTCATGGCTACAAGGGTGCAAGGTGCACTTCACAGCTACCTCTTGCTCACAGCCCACTGGTGGCAGGCAGAGGACCTGAGGAATGGCAGGGCATTGGTGACAGGGCCACAGGGGAAGGCCCTTGCCCTGCCCCCAGGCTACAGGTCTGCTCTGCTGCAGGCACGACACATGGAAGCTCAGGCGATGGGGAGGAACATCGCCAATGAGTTCCTGTCCACACTGCAGGAGTGGGCACTGGAAGGGGAGGTGACCCATAGCCACATGGTTATAGATGCTGGGTGGAACATATTGGAGGCATTGAACGCGGTGAGCTTTGAGGGCATCGTATGCATGGTGCACAAATTACACCTTGTGGTGCGCGATGCCCTCAGC